GGCCGAGGTCGGTGTAGCAGAGCGCGGCGTGGCAGAGAGCGCACAGGCCGCCCGCGCAGGTGGCCTTGCGCAGCAGCCAGAGCCACGCGACGAGGGCCTGCGCGAAGGTTCGGGGAAGGTGGACGGAAGGCTGAACGAAAGGTTCGGGGAAGGCTCCCGAGCGCCTCGACGTCGGCGGCGGAGGCGGGCCCCGAGGCGCCGCGGCGGAGGAAGACGGCGGCGAGAGTCTTCTCGAGCAGGCAGCTGCCGGTGAGCATCGCAAAGATGGGCAGCCGCGCGGCGGCGGTGCGCGAGGTGGAGGTGAGGGCGAGCGCGAGCAGCACGGCGCACGTGAAGAAGAGGACCGACTTGATGTCGGCGAACTCGCCAAACAGGGCGGCCTGCAGGTCGAGGAGCCGGTCGACGCCGCCGAGCAGCGAGCGCTGCTTGGAGCCGAGCGACTGCACGCACGGGGAGAGGGGGTCGTGCTCTCTGGGCCCGCGGGAGAGCGTGGCGATGGCTGTGGGCGCGAGGGCGCGGCGAGGGTGAGGCGGGCGGCGGCGGCGGCGAGGCCGAGGGCGGCGGCAAATGGGGGAGAAGGGGTCGGGCCGCAGCTGCCTCGGTGTCCTTTTTGAGGCTGTCGAGCTGTGACGCCGTCCCCTGCGCCGAGGCGTGGAGCTGGTCGACGAGCGTCTCGGTCGAGCGCTGAAACTCGCGCGACTGGAGGTAGAAGCACATCGACTCGGCGTGCGTGTAGAAGTGGGTGTACGCGTTGAACGCGAGCGCCGCGGCCGAGTCGACCATGGGTTTGGTGCAGTCGGCGAGGCTCATCTCGGAGGTGCACTCGTAGGTGGTGAGCCCCGATTTGGCCAGGTGGCAGTTGGTAAAGTCCACGGCCAGCCTCGACTGCGACTGGTCGTCCATCTCGCGGCAACCGCCGCGGAGGCGGTCGACGGCGCGGGCGCTGCACGTGGTGTCAGCGGCAAGCGCCTCGAGCTGAGACTTTCCGGCGGCGGCGCGTGCGGACGCCGCCTCGTCGAACTGGAACGTCGCGACGTGTGACGTCAAGAGGGCGAGCAGCAGGGGAGCCATGACCGTCAAGCGTCGCCCTGTCACGGTCAAATGGCCTGGGTTTCCTTTCTCTCGTGGTATGGGGCAATTGCGCACCGCTATACATACTCGTTTATTCACGAGGCGACCCCAGGGAACCGTGGGCTCTAGGTGGAACCGTGGGCTCTAGGTTTCCTAGTGGCGTGCTGTGAACAGCGAAGAAGACGCCTGAATTCAAACCGTTGGGTCGCTACAGTTCGGGTGGACCGATCTTTATGAGAAGAGAACAGCGGGATTGGAATCAAGGGGGGGCGGGGGGGAGGAAGAAAGCACAGCGTGCACGCTTCAGCAAGTGCTCCAACCAACCTCCAAGAGCAAGACTGACTGGCTGGCTGGATCGCTGGATGGATGGATTTCGCCGCACGGGGCAAGGCACGTCCTCCTCGACGTCCCCCGAGCCAGACCTGCGAGGCGGTGGACGAGACGATGGGCTGCTGAGAGGAAGCAGGGAGGAAGAACGGGCCTCGTTGCGGGTGGTGGAGATGAGACGTGTATATCGATCGCGCGCCTTGCGGGGGGGGCGCGCGGAAAAGAGGAACCTCTTGGCGCCATCGCCATGGTGCGAGACGCGGAACCGGAAGTCGGATAGCCCCTACGAATAGTCGTGGAGAGAGGGCGCGACGCGCGACGCGGTGTGCGGTGTGGCCGACCAGCTCCAGGGCTGGAGATGACAGATGTAGAAAACGGATGTGGTCTTTTTCCGTTCTAAACCAGTGCGCGCCAGGCGTGGGAGCATCACATCTCGACCCAAGAGCTGGGACAGCGGCTGGGGTTGGACTCCATCGAGTTCTACATCGCTCGCCGGCAGCTCCGGTGCCTACTCTCTGAACGTATATTCCAAACGGACCCTCGAGTGTCGTGTGTCGAGAACGCTGAACGGACCCCTCCTAGGGCTGTTTTCTACCCGTATTGGCAGTATTCCGATCGTAGTCCACACGTATTCCAGAATACGTATTTATTCCAAACGAGGCCCAAAAAGCGACGTATTCCGTATAAAATTTTCCTCGCTCCGCGAATTCAGACAGAGAGACAGAGAGAGAGGCTCCGGTGGCTTGGACAGCCCACACTCAAACGCAGGGAGGCAGGGTTCCGACTTTTGGGGGGGAAGGGTACGAGTAGCGGCTGGTCGGGGTAGGGGTTAAGGGGTAGGCCTGGATCGAACCCGGAGGCCTGAGTGGCTAGGGATCCTTTCCCGGGAGTGAACCAGCCGCGAGAATACCTAGCCTAGACGTGGAGGCAGGCGGCTCCTCGGAAACTCCGGCCTCCCTCCGCGTGCCTTCCTGCTTCCTGACGCGAGGACCTGCTGGCTCCTCCGCTCGTGGGCTTGCAGCCCTCTGGTTTCTGTTCCATGGGCAAGCTGCGAAACTGGCTTCATGGCGACGGCGACCGCCCGCACTGGTCGATGCTGCAGTGCGCCGTCGCCGCGTGCACCGAAGACTTACAGGACGAGCTTCAAGACGAGTGGAACGATTGGACGTCAGACAAGTTCGTACGGATCAGAGGACGAGTTCGACTCGTGCAGCGAGTGGGACGACGACGAGGCCGTCGACCGCGCCAAAGAGTGGCTCGGCTGGTCGCCGATCGACCGCGAGGCAAACGGGTACGGTGACGGAGACGAGAGGGATGACGACGTCCGCTCAGCCTGGAGCCGCCTGGCGAGGACGCCGACGGCTACATCCGGTCGTGCTGCGGCGGTGCCCAAGGGCGCGCCTTCTCAGGGTTCTGCACCACGGGAGTCACACGAGATCGACAACATGGTGCAAAAGAAGAACCCGACGTGGCGCTTCGTTTCGTTCATCGACGACATGGTCCAAAACGACACCGTGGCAGAGGCCGTCGGTCTTACTGCGGCGAGGGCGGCACACTCCTCTCGAGGTGCAAAACGAATTCGCTGGCAACCTCGACAACGAGGAGAAGTGCCTCATCTACTCTCCGAGCGGCGACCTCGACAGCGTACCCTCCTTCATGGTCGGCTCGCCGCACCACCGAGAGACGAGGACGGGACCCTCACCGGACGCGAGAAATGCTTCAAAATCCTCGGAACCTACCTCGGCGACACAGAGGCTGCCTCGGAGGCGATTGGGAAACGCCTCAGCCCTCACCAAAAACCTCCGTCCGCTCGACTTCATCGACACGCTCGAATGCACCGAGGGCATTCAGAACGTTGGACACCTCAAGTACACAACCTCATCACCCGTCAGGCCTGCCCAAAGACGAAGTACATCTGCTCCGTCACGCCACCAGAGATCAGCGAGGGCCCGGCCATCGACGGGAGCAACCGGATTCGCAAATCGTGGGAATTACTCACAGAGGCATAGGATGCTCCTCTCTCCTGCCAAATACCTTTCTCCGGGGGCATGTTCTTTTTCTACGGATGCCTCTTCCACTGGTTCTCCAAGATGCAGCGATCCGTCACGCTCTCTAGCGCCGAGGCAGAGTTCTTTGGCACGATGCTCGCCGCCAAGGAGGTGGTTTTCATCCGCGAAGTACTGATCGACCTTGGATTTTCCATCGACGGCGCCAGCGTCATCAACTGCTATAGCAAGTCCGCCGTCGGCATGGCATTCGACCCCGTCGCCTTCAAGAAGACCAAGCACATCTTGCGCGCCGCCGAGTTTCTTCGCGATCTCGTCAGCCGTGGCGTTATCTCTGTCGAACACCTCCCCGGCGTTGTCATGCTCGCCGACCTGCTCACGAAGGCTGCCTCGCGGGCCATCTACTTGGCCTGATCAAGCGGCTTGACGACTTTCATGCCCTTTGAGTTCGTTTGTCCCTCGCGCCCCGCGCTCGGGCCAGAAGGGCTGTTCCCGGGCATTAATTCCGCCAATCCTCGAGATCATTAGGCGATTATATCCATAAGGGATTTCATTCCCTTTTGGTTTTGGAGATTCGTGTTTCGGTTTCGGATTTGGGTAAAACTCTTCAGCGCGATGCGGCCCAAGCCTTGGCTCATCCTGTCCGTGAGCCTCTATGGCGTGGCCGCTATCGAGTAGCCACTAACATCGAAATCCGGTACAAATCGACCGTTAGCCAGCCCCGCCCCCCAAACCACAGGCGCGCCCAGAGGCGCCGCAGGCGCCCCAAGCGGCGCGGAGCGCCGCCGTAGGCGGCGGACAGCAGTCAGTCAGTCAGTGTTACACACGTCCTAGAGCAGGACGACGGGGCATACGCACTCGCGTAGGAGGCTGACAGCAGGTGCGCGAAATTAAGCGCCATTTTCGGTTCCGCGGGTTTGCTACTAATATGTCGAAATCTGGTACAAATCGACTTAGCCGAGCCCCCCCAAACCACAGGCGCACAGCGCCCAGGGGCGCCGCAGGCACCTCAAGCGGCGCGGAGCGCCGCCGCAAAAGCAGCAGGTGCGCGAAATTAAACGCCATTTTCGGTTCCGCGCGGTTTGCCACTAACATCGAAATCCGGCAGAAATCGACACAGCTGACAGACAGACTGAGACAGAGAGCACACACGTTCGAGACTGGGGATCTGGGGTGCGGAAAGGAGGAACCTCTTAGCGTTTAAAGGTAGAGGCGGTTCCAGATGGGGGAGAACCACGATTGCACTGCGTCCATTGCCTCCATCCCAAATGATGTCATTCCTGAGAGGTCTCGCGACTCGCCTCGCAAGCACGGTTCGCACCCGGCGCACTTACTTTCCCAACCGCATTTGAGGCTCCATCTCTGCGTGTGACCAGCGCACCAAGGTTCACATGCGGCGGTGGCCTTCTCCGGGAGGTTGTGCGACACATTTGCGGGGATCAAGCCCGCATGCTTGGCAATGATGTCCCAGTCCTGTGCATACAGCTTGCCGGTGCTGGTAAGGTTCTCGGTGCCGGGAACAAACAGACTGCTTTCTCGCACGAAGTCGTGCACCTGAGCACGGAAGTGTGCATGTACTCAGGTGTGAGTGAGTGGTCACGGGAGAGCATCCATGCGGAGGGGGCGGTCAACCGGGTTGCGTGTCGCAAACCACGTGTACCGAAACACCCTGTCGTCCGTCTCGAGCGCCAGCAGCGTCTTGGACATCCATTCGTCCTGGACCTGCCGGCCTTGTTTGGCAAAACCGACTGCCATCTCGGTGATCCACAGCTTCTTGCCAAATGATTCGTAGAAACGTGCGATTCGATCGGCCAGTTCGGTGAACACTTCCTCCCTAGAGTTTGAGTAGTAGTGGTAGCCGATGTACTTAATTTTGTCCGGGTCGCAGCCCTCGATGACGCTGCAGTTGCCCAGGAAATGTGTTAGCCAGGGTGATGGATTGCCATCGAAGTAGCGAACACACAGCTGCGGCGAAAAGAGCACCTAGGAGGGAGTCGCGCGGCGATGAAGAGGTGTACTATCACATGTGTGGTGGCGTATGACCAAGAGGGCACCAACGGAGGGTCGAACTCCTCTGCAATCTCTTGCACTTGCACCCAGAGCTCCGCTGCCCTCTTGGCAGGGAGCTTGTCGTGCAGATCTGGCTCGTTGAACCCGCCGAGGTGGCGCACACCAGAGTCGCGCCATATCTGCTTGTAGTTGGGGTCGAGACCTGCCTTGCACGATGGCTTGCAGTCTTTGGAGCCCTTGATGATCGGAACGTATTCTGCCGCGCGCGCCCTGCCCCCGCACATCGGTTCGCTGCAGGTGTTGCCCTTTCCACAGTCTGGGTGCGAGTGCCAATTGTAGAACCACGAATCGGCCAGGTTTAGGTGAGAGGCGTCGTCGCAGCTATATATGCGCTTCCCGTCGGGAAACAGTGGGCCCGAGTTGCTGAAGCCAGCCCCACGTTTTTTTGGGACTGGTCCGGCCCCCGGAGGAAGGGCAAAGATCGGCTTTATCGGTAGCCGTGGCTCGTAGTCTAGCGTGCACCGGAACCTCGTGTGGGGGAAAGCGTAGCAAGTGGCATCGCAACGCCCGGCGATGGATCCACACACCCCGCAGCCGCAAGCGTCCTCGCAAAGAGACCCACCGCACAGGTTGTTCTTGGCATGCCCCAACTTCGCGTGTCCGTGTCGAAATTCTTCCTCGGTATAGTCACCTTTCCAAAGGTCGGCGGTGTCCTGTAGACAGGAAGAGCAAGCTCCGACGGTTGGTCGTGCAATAAAATGGGGCTTCTTGCACTTGTGCCGACCCTTCGTTGGTTCGGCTTTGCAGGACCTGTCACATTTTCCGTATGACCCACAGACGCCGCATTCGCAAGCATCCTCGCATGGTGCACCGCCACAATCGCCAGGTCCCTGGCCAAAGGTTTCCGAGCACTTGTCGCAATCCGGATCCTCTGTCACCTCATCCATCCCGCACGGGTAGCGGAGCGAAACAGGATCGGGCTGGCAACTTTTGGGGTCAGATTTGATGCTGCCGCAAACGCCGCAGTTGGCAGCGTCCGCGCATGGGTGATCTCCACAGTCCTCGTAGATCTCGTTGCAGCGGTAACATGGGGTGAGCGCGTTGAACTCATCGGTCGCCGCACCGTCCTTCCTTTCCCTTGACGTTACTTCTGCCATCTCCTTTCCCTCCCCTTGAGGCTGGAAGGGTTTGTACGCACGAATGCCTGCGGCGACACCGAAGCAGGTCAGCGCGAGCGCGACACCCCGGCGGCAACCCAATCGCTGGCCGGCATCCGACTTTGTCAGCATCGGGGTTCTCCACGCAGTAGTTGCTCAGCGAGAAGCACCGGGACCGGGTGGTGTTCCGCGGCGTTTGCCCCTTTGCCTAGCACCAAACCGGACGAGCCGACGTCGGCGTGGACGGGAAATCTTCGGGGTAGGCAGGTAAATCCCGCTGTTGCGCCAGGTAGGCATACGCTGGTACTTAATTAAAGATACTTCGTAGACGCATAGCTAGACGAAGTATGGGGAGTGAGAAGCGTCAGTCAGAAGAGCTTCAGGGGTAACCTGAAGTCCGTCGTGACGCTCTTCTTTCCCCCCAGGTTTGACCGCGCAGCTTTCAAAACTCGACGATATCTTCCGGAAAGACTGAACTTCCCGCACGCAGGCGCCGCGGCAGCATGAGAGGCGCAGAGAGGCTGCGAGTGCTCGACGAGTCTTGCGAGCTGCGCGGTCAAACCTGGGGGGAACTGATCGCATCAAGGCGGACTTCCGAAACCTGGGTGAGCACCTCACACCTCTCTCTACTGTGAGATGGGTAAAAAGGAACAGGTCCCCGCCCTTGCGATCTTTGTGCAGGGTTCTTTGTGGGTGTGGTCGGCGACTAGCCGGGGTCGTCCTCCCGATGGGGGACTAGCACTAGCAGTCTTCCACATGGTCCCTCGGGTCCCTGCTGCTCCTAATCTCTTCGTACATCCTCCTGCTGATCTCCGCAAAGTCCTGCTCCCTCCCTCGTCTCGCCTAGGGTTGCCTAACGTTAATTTGGGGCCTAACAGTTGCGCTATTGTTGGCTGAAATCCTCAACGTTGTTCAAGTGTTCACCCCAGCCCATGCTGTTACTGTTTATTACTGTTGTTACTGTTGTTCAGCGGCCAGCAAGCAGAAAATGGCCAAAAAACCGGGTAAACCCCGAAAATACCTGGGTTTTCCCGGGTATTTTTGGGTATTACCCGCACTGGACACTAGAGATCGTCGTGGGTCACTGCCAGGCCTTCCTTACTGTTGTTCAGTCGGCCTAACGTTAGCTACTGTTGTTGGGAAGCCCCACTGTTGTTCTGTTGTTACTGTTAACACTAGCAACACTGTTCAGCTCCTAACGTTAGGCAACCCTAGTCTCGCCCTGCGCGTCTGCTCCGCCTCACCGTCTTCTGCCCTGCGTCGTCTGGCGACGGCCTCCATAGTCGGTCGAGGTCGCCGCCCTCCTCGTGCCTCTTCCCAACGTTCCCTCGGCGGCCGATGCCGTCTGCTCCGGCTCCCCAGTCCCCGGGTCTGCCCTGCTCTCGTCTGCGCTAGTTTCTGCTTCGTCATCACCGGCGTCTCTCCTCTTCCCTCTCCCCTTCTTGTATGCTTTGCACATCGCGTCGATTCCTTTTCGCGTGAGCACCAGCCTGAAGCCCGCCCAGCAGCTGAACCGCTCCCTAAGTCGAAGGAGCATCATCAGTCTTCTCTCACGCGCCACGCGAGGGCCTCTTTTAAAGAGCCTCTTATAGAAGGGGGCCAAGAGAACACACACACCCCTCTCTCCCGTTTCTCCAATTAAGCTAAAAGTACGTACTCGCTACTGACGTACTCCCGCTTACAGTTACACTCGGAGAGAGAGACTCAAATTTTGGACCTCTCTCCGGAGTGGCTTGCCCGTCGCCCGTCGGGGTCGGGGCAACCCCGGTAACGCAAAGATGGGGGGGTCCCCCCCCCAAGACGCGTGTCGGGCTCCTCCAATTCATCCTCGCACGACGCACGCGCGTAACACGCGTTGAGCAAGCCGACGGCGCCGCGGCCGGTCAAGCTTACGAGCAGCGGAAACTCAACGTCTCTAACATCACTTCAATACACGAAATTCTCTGCATCTCCTCTTATCGCACGCTCCATCCTCAACAGGACAACACGAAGACCCACATCGTGACGCGCCGGGGACAGCGCATGCGGCATGGCTTCTTTGATCTCTCTACTCTCTTTCTCGCTCGCTCTCTCGCCCCTCCTGTGGGCGCTCTCTCATCTGAGCACGATTGCTGGGTGCGGGCGTTGAGCCGCATCATTCCTATCTAGAGCGCCGTATGGTCTGAGTCCCCCGACACGTCCGCATCATTCCTATCTAGAGCGCCGTATGGTCTGAGTCCCCCGACACGTCTCTCCCCCCCCCCCCCCCCCGAAAAAGAACAGAGAGAAGGCCAAACCCGCCCAGAGCTCCGCGCGCCTCAGGATACTGGAAAGTAGGGCAGGCGCCCGGCGAGAACAGAGCGCCGCCTGAAGACCGATGGGGGACTGGCGCGCCTCGAGCTGGCCATAAAGGGACAAGGATTCACAAAGAAAGAATGAAAGAA